CCCAGAGCTCTGCCTCTGGGCTTCCCTGGTATCCAGTCTCTGCGCAGTCCTAATGTACTGAAATTAGACTTGGTGGAGCATCGTGCTAGGAAGGCAGGCCTGCGCTCACATCTCAGATCTACCAGCTCCTGGGCAAATGTGGGAAACTTACATAACCTCTCTGGTCCACCATTTCCTCACCTGCAAAATGAGGAAGATGATGCCAGTACCTGCCCTGTGGGAGTGATAAAAAGGCTCAAGGAGTTAGTATGTGGATAGAGCAGCTGTTCTACCCGCACTGCTGCTGTTGTGAAGTGCTGGGGAGTCGGTGCCGACTCATAATGACCCTGTATAGACTTTCTATGGAGCAACTGGTGGGTTTGAACTGTCAACCTCATAGTTAGCAGTCCAGTGCTTATACTGAAATGCCATACCAGCTTCGCTCACCCACATTCGTACATGCTTTTTGCAGGCTTCCTAATAGTATTGCAGACAAGATATCTGTCCACCCACAGAGCCTAGGGTTGGAAACATTGCCTGTTGCTCCCATACCCACTTTTGACCACATGACTCTATTTTATTTCCCTGTGCCTACTGGTGTGGCGCTGTGGGATAAGCACTGGACCACAAGGTTGGTTTGAACCACAAGGTCGACAGTTCAAACTCACCAGTCGCTCCTCGGAAACCCTACACTAGGTTGCTAAGAGTCGCAACTGACTCGACAGCACTTAACGACAACAACTATTTGAGGAGCCCTGGTGGCAGAGTGGATTACGCATTGGGCTGCTAACCACATGGTTGGTGGTTTGAACCCACCAGTTGCTCCATGGTAGGAAGAAGGAAGGAATACCTAGTTCATGGGCTTACAACTCCCCCAGCAGACTCCCCGGCTGTCACCGGACCACGTGCCCACCTCACCATCATTAGCCACCCCCACTGGCCTCTCTGACCACCACAGCAGCTCCTTACAGCAATGAAACGTCTTCACAACCTAAGACAGTTTAGGACTGACTTAAAATTCATTGTCAAGGGGAAAAGGAGATTCCCGGGGGAAAAGTTCTTTCTGGGGGTGGTGTGCAGCAGGCTTGTGGCCAAAAAGGGCAGCCTGCCCTCTCCTTCCAGGAAGATAATGGTCGTAATAGCAGCTCCAGCATACTGTGCATTTAGGGTGGCCAGCACTGTGTTCAACTCTTTAAAGTACACTCTCTCTCTTTTCATTCACAAAAGCACCTTCTAAGGAAGGACAGGTCGGACAATAGGAACTTGCCGGG